TGCACCTATATCTGGTCTAAGAGCATTGTGTGAGGTTGTTTAGAAATTCAATGAGATCTACTTCTGAGTTGATACATAGTGAAATACATTGATACATTGGTTCTCATGTCAAATTAAGCCACAGTTTGCTTAATCATGGTTTGCTGAATAAACCATAATTGACACTTTAAACCTACCCACCCCAAAAAACATTTTGATTGTCGCAATGTGAGAATGTGATGTTCAGAAAGAACTTCAGTTAATTTATGTCAACATTGCTCTTTTTGGAAGAGTTATTTATCACCATAACCTGCAAATCAGTCCTGAAAAATTGATCTGAATCCTAATTATTAAAATACATATGCTGATCTGTTGGATAATTATACTGTTTATCTCAAAAGGAATTCTGTTCCTGTTATACTGATTCACTATGAAAGTAAAAGTTACCAGGTGATCTGATTGGAGAATATGGTTTCAGATGAAATCCTGTAATATTGCTTCATTATTACTCATTACTTTCCCATTAAGATATAAGTTCCTAATGGATGGGGACTGTATTTTACATTCTGTCTCCTCTTATATTTTATTAAAAACATTGTGCAGTGTGCATAATGTATAAATGTGGGATGCACCATTACAGTGAGAAGAATCTTCTGAAAGCATTGGGCAGAGAATAAAATGTTTGTACTGAGCACTCTAGTCATTTTTGGATATAGTACGTGATATCATGTTGGTCCTTGCCTAACATTATTGGAAGCATTTGAAGAGAAAGCTCTAAAGCCTTATCCCCTGTCTTAGAAACTGGGAGATGGAGAGTTCTAGTCCCAGCTTAGACATATTTCACAAATATGTCCAGAAATATTTCACAAGAAGAGTTCTCCACTCCTCTACTCGTTGTAGAATACCTTATGCCACCAGACTTGAAATTCTAGAACTTGAAAACCTTGAATTACGCCGTCTTCGGTCTGACTTAAGCATGGTATATAAAATCATACATTGCAATGTCCTACCTGTCAATGAATACTTCAGCTTCAACCATAACAACACAAGAGCACACAATAGATACAAACTCAAAGTAAACTGCACCAAACTTGATTGCAGGAAATACGACTTCAGCAATAGAGTGGTCAATGTCTGGAATACTCTACCCGACTCTGTAGTTTCTTCCCCAAACCCCAAAAACTTTAACCTTAGACTGTCTACTATTGACCTCACCCCTTTCCTAAGAGGCCTGTAGGGGGCGTGCATAAGCGCACCAACGTGCCTACCGTCCCTGTCCTATTGTTTCTCTTATTCTTTTATTTTTCTTATATGTACCCATTTCATGTATTCACAACTATGTATACATTTATACTTATTATCTTGTAAACAATTGGCAAATCAAATAAATAAAAAAATAATAAATAAACATGAAAGCCAGATGGGTGACTTTAGGCCATTCACTTGGAGACTGTGAGTTCTAGTCCTGGCTTAGGCATGAAAATTGGCTGTGTGACTTTGAGTCAATCATTAGGAGATGGGGAGTTCTAGTCCTGATTTGACATGAAAGGCAGCTGGGTGACTTTAGGCCATTTACTCAGAGACTGTGAGTTCTAGTTCCAATTTAGGCATGAAAATTGGCTGAGTAACTTTGAGCCAATCAGTAGGAAATGGGGAGTTCTAGTCCTGTTTTAGGCATGAAAGCCAGCTGGGTGATTTTGAGCCTATCAGTAGAAGAGTTCTAATCCTGCCTTAGGCACGAGAGCTGGCTGGGTGACTTTAGGCCAGTCATCCAGAGACTATGAGTTCCAATCCCAATTTAGGCATGTCGGCTGGGCAACTTTGAGCTAATCAGTAGGACACAATACTAAATGATCACTGTTAGGGATAACATTGTTTACCCTAACTGGTTTGGGTAAAAATAATAAATATGGTATCATGGTTTGTTAGTTAAAGTGTGTGTAACTTTAACAGTAAGAATGTAATTAAGGGTGTGGTTGTAAAAGCACTATATAAGAAGCGAGGCAATTGCAGCTCACTCTCTCTGGCTTGAAGATCCCTAATTACTGGATGGATTGATGACTGCGTTCTTGCTGGAACGGGGAGAGAAAAAGGAGTGTTGATATTTCTCAACGGAGAGAAGATAAAGATTGGACTGATTTATTGTAAGTGAACTGACATTGGCTATTCAACACGGACTTTGCAAATAGAATATCCCTGACAAGACTTGACTGAAATTGATATATGACTAATGGACCGTTTATTTTGACTATGCTATAATTCTTAAATGGAATAAACAATATTTTTGATAGCACAAGCGTATCTGTATTTTTACTGCGTGTTAACTAGAAAACTTATCTCACACATTTACCTGTCTTCCTATCTGACTTCGCTGCACGTTCTGTTTAGTTTGTTTTCCTTAACACTCGTTGGGGAATCCAGGCTTAACAATCACATTGTGTCCAAATGTCCATCGGGAGCTTACAACAGCCCAGTGTCTGATTTTTTTTTCCAACATAGACCACCCTGTTCTTGAATGATTAGGTAGACTGGACCTTAACATTTGAACCACCATTGGCCATATGCTAAATAAATAAATAAATGTTTCTTTTATACTTTTTCATACTTCTATCCCTTGTTTCTTTTGATTGATAGTTTATGGGGTTTTCTAATGCATAGGCTTTGTAACATTAATACTAATAATTTGTAACATTAATATTAATACAATTATTGGAAAAGTAAAGGGGAAAGGGGAACTGGGATTGGGCATGATACTCTCCATAGAGGCCTCTGGCTCCGGGCCATCATGGTCCAATGGATTGGGGAGATCTCTATTCGTCTCCCTTCTGCTACAGAAGCTCACTAGACAACTCTCAGCCTAGCCTACCTCACAGGGTTGTTGCTGTGGGCAAAAATGGCAGGTGGGAGGCAGGGTTGGGCTGTGTGGGGTTTGTAGGGGTTCGGGAGATCCCCTAGCTAAGATTCTGTGCAGTTCGGAGAACCCCCAAATCCCACACCTGGCTGGCCCCACCCCTCCCAGGAGTCCCCACACGGCCCGTTTTGGGTGCAGGTAAGTGCAGGTTGTGTTCAGAGGCATGGGGAGGGTGAAAAACGGGCCTCCTGGAAGTTCGGGAAGGCCAGAAATGGGCCCATTTCTGGCTTCCAGAGAGCCTCCAGAGCTCAGAGAGGCCATTTTCTCCCTCCTGGAGGCTCAAGGAAAGCCTCCGGAGCCCGGGGAGGGCAAAAACGCCCCCCCCCGCCATGATGCAGGAGGCCAACTAGGCCACACCCACTATGGCCACGCCCACCCAGCAACCAGGCAGGGAACCTTTTGCTAAAATTTTTGAAATTTTTGAATTTCCTACCTTGAAATCCTCAAGGTAGCATTTGCTGCCTTGAGTTCCTGGTCAAAAGGCAGCATAGAAACCAAACAAACAAACTAAATTTACCTTATGTCTCCGGCACTTGTTCTGTCTTTCTTCTTTAATTCAATATTATGAGAGAGGCTTGGCTAGCGTGAGACCTAGTTTCATACTTTAATAACATAAAACATAAACTTTCAAAACGATTAATTGCTGCAGAGCTCTTAATGGTCAGACCGTATTTTTTTTTAAATTCACTTTCTCCCCACAGTGCACTTAACTGTTGGATCGGTGCCAGGCTGCGTAGCATGTCATGCTTTTCCTGTCTCTGATACTGCAGAAGTACATAAGGGTGGACTTTGGGTCAACACCCAAACACTCCCAATTTTCAATTTCCTAGAAGAAGGAAGAACAGCAGGGACGGGTGCAGGGAGAGGAGGAGAAATACGGTAGCATCTACATTTATTCCCCAGAATTTGGAGGAATCTCATGTACCATGTTTGTTTTAATAAATAATATTTTAAAAGGACAGAAATGATCAAATATGTGAGCACAAAAAATTATCTGACAGGAGACGCCAGCAGGGCGACTTGTTATTGGAAAGATTATTCGTGATTTTGAGCAAAGATGTTAAGAAAATGACCTGCAACTCTGCCACGGGAAATCCCTTTTAAACCCGGCATCTGAATTCTGTCAAATCCCAGACCTTCGTCAACAAGGAGAAAAACCGTCCCCAAATTTCCCCCTAAATTTCAGAGCAAAGAAAAAGCAACAGCTGGCTTGAGAGAAAGCTAAAAGAATCCCAAGCTGGGCTTGATTTTTTTGGATCCCTCTTTTAATAGGTTGGTGGTTGGGAATTCTGATAGTCCTCCTCACCTTGTAGAGGTGGACAACCAATCAAAAGAAAGAAAGAAAGAAAGAAAGAAAGAAAGAAAGAAAGAAAGAAAGAAAGAAAGAAAGAAAGAAAGAAAGAA